CAGCTGCCTGGCTGCCTGCCGCCATCTTGGCTGACAGTTAATTTGCATATCTCCCTGATTAGCCAATGGGAAGGGTAGTGGTCGTACGCCAATTACCATGTTTCTCTTTTATTAGTGTAGATGCAATGTACAGCACCTTGTTCTTTTCTATGTAACAATATATGTTCAAGATCTTTCTACATCTGTATATATAGTTTTTTCTTATCCTTTTTATTGCTAATGTCTGCATGAAAATGTTATTGAACAGGGAGGATATTATAGAACAATTACAGTACAAATATTAATTACAGTACAATTAATGGGTCCTTTATGAAGGAACATTTTGTTTGTTTCCAGGAAGTGTGTTTGTTTTCTTGCTTGTTTTTGCAACAAACATGTTGATGTAAATAACCAACATAATATACAAACATATGTGATGTGTGTATATATAGTAACTTAATTGGTATTTACTCAGATTTTTTCCATTTCAACTATGTAATGTATTTAGAATTTTGCTATAGTTTTAAGGAATTATTCTAAATAAAGTAACATAGCTGTATTCCTTTTCTAACTTAAATAGTTGCATCAGTGTTTGGAAGTGGTAATGTGGCAGGATAGTATGAAGAGAGAGAGAGATTCCTTAGCAATTGGGATAAGGGAAACGGAAATAAAAAATTAAACAAGGCCAAAAATTTGAGCAATTTACAGCCAGCTAATGAATGAATGACAAGGTTGTATTTTCCCTAACTAAGAATACTTAGGAGCAAATGGTTTACACATTCCAGACTGTCCGGCATCAGACCAGCCTTAGTCCTGGTCCCTCTTCAATGACTTTTTTAAACTACCCTGAAAATAACCCTGACTGCTCTATACATGACAAGACAGACTTACAGATGATGAATCATCATACTGAAATTGCACTTTAAATTATATCGTTGGAGAAAGATTTCTACAGCTCCTCTAGGCAAAATCTCCCCCAAATGAAAATCTCAGGCACATGCTTTTGAGAGTCTTAGATATGTGATTTATTTAGACAATAAAAAATAAAAACTTTAAAACCATAGAAATTATTTAGAATTTATTTGTTTCTCAGTCATGATAGTGATTAATGCCTAGTTATCAGTTTCCTTATATTCAGTGTTTGCAAACTACTAACCATAAAAATTCTTTTTTAAAATTTATCTTTATTTTTGAAAGTATTACAGATGTCTCCCTTTCCCCCCATTACCCCCCTCCCCAGGCCTTCCCTACATCATTGTCTGTCCATGGGCTATGCATATATGCCTATAAGTTCATTGGTTAATCTCTTCCCTCTTCCCTATGTCAGCACTCAATTAATAGAGCACAAATTGAACTCTTTGCTTAGAACATGTACTCTGGAAGGAATATTCTAATGAGTTTCAGAAATTCAATGCTGTTTTTTTTTTTTTCCTTAAACAGCTTTACATAAATTCCAAGGAAACTGAGGTAAGAAGACACACATAGAGGTAGTTACTATGACGGATGGGGTGAGTGTGGAGTAGCAGTCCCCTAGGGTGGTGTCATAATCAGGAGACGCTCTTATAGTTTGAAAGACCCCCTACCGTGTGTGTGTGTGTGTGTGTGTGTGTGTGTGTGTACGCGCGCTTCACTCTTAAAAAAATCACTCTTTCTGTACACCCTAAACTAATACAAAATAATATCGAATGTAGACTGTAATTGAAAAATGAAGTAACGTAAATAATTTCTCTAGTCCTGTAAATTTAGCTTCTCTAGATAACATAGTAAGGGAGAAATAGATGATTTTGCTACTTGTCTAGCTTCAAGGGGAGGAATCAATGGACACATAACGCTCAAGTTATTGTGCAGTTTTAAAAGAAAACATTTTATAATTTACACTACAGGTTTTGAAGCGTCAGGTGCTCTGCAGGAGGAAAGAGGGGCGAACATGAGCGCTGAGCAGGATGGCCCGCCCCCTCCGGGAGAAGAGGCCCCGCCCCCTC